AGAGAGAGAGAGAGAGAGAGAGAGAGAGAGAGAGAGAGAGAGAGAGAGGTTCTAGATTTTGTGACACAAAATGATGATCTGGAAACAAGTTCAGAACTTCAGAGTTTGTCATCTTCTACTTTTTCTTTCAATATTTTCTTCTTCTTCTTCTTCTTCTTCTTCTTCTTCTTCTTCTTCTTCTTCTTCTTCTTCTTCTTCTTTGTAATGACCCGCCAAAAACACAGACTGGGAACACTGCTGATTTCTGGGATTTGCCAATGGAATGAATGCCTTGCTGTGATTCCCGCATTCTGTTGTGGCCCCAAGTCTGTGTGTATGCGTGCCTGCTGGTTTGCATGCCTGTCTGAGTGCTTGCCGGTTGTGTGTGTATGCGTGCCTGCTGGTTTGCATGCCTGTCTGAGTGCTTGCTGGTTGGGTATGTGTGTGTGACCCCCAAGGGTACTTGTTGGTTGCCAGGCCCACCGGGCCGGTACTTACCTGTGGCCGTGACTTTGAAGGGTTGCAGGGGGGTAAACACGCCGGTAGCGGGGAGTAGGCCCACGGCACTTAGAGCAGCTGGGGAAAAACACTCAAGTAGCAGGTAGGCCGAGCAGAAGAAGGAAAAAAGTTGGCATTTTTAGAGGCCCAGTAGAGGTAGGTTAGAGGTAGGCCGGTACCAGTCCAAGTAGCCCGGGTCTAGGGCCTGTGCGGACAATAACAGAGCCTGCAATGATGTTTCCCTCCAAAAGGGAGGAGGTACCAGTTGCTGGGAGGCCGCTTGGCCTAGGAAGTCACCGCCCAGGAGGCCGGTAGGCCGCTATATCTTCAGGAAGAGCGGAGAGCTCTTCCTCATTTGCGGTATGCAAGGATTGGCGACATGCTGCTGGAGCGCAGCGCTGGACTGAAGCAGCGCTGCTGGAAGGTGAAGGTCCGCTGGGGCTCAGCCTATGGCGAGCACCCCAGCTTGAGGAGGAGGAAGAAGGGGGCATGGTAGGAGAGTGGTAGGGCACTTACCTGGCTATGGTGGACACCGTCTTCATCACCTTGTTGGGCGCTGCATCTGGAAGGCCCCAGTTGGGGTAGCGCTGCACCAGGGCAGCTCGAGGCAGAGTCAGGCATAGTGGACCAAGTCAGCAGCGGCATAGCTGCTTGGGTTGTCTTTCGGACATCAGCGCAGCACTATAGCTGTCTCCCAGTAGTCCGCCATGGCCTATGCATGAGAGAGGAGGTTGAAGGAGGGACGCCATAGCCATGGTGGACTTGTTGTTGTTGTTGATTGTTGTGAGTTGAGTCAGCAGTAAGAGGGAACTTCGGACATTGATTCTGGTTCATCCATTCATTGTTATTATTATTATTGAGAGAAGAATAAGATTGGTGAAGAGAAAAAGGAAGGAGGAAGGTGGAGAGAGAAGGGGGGAATCGTCATTGGTCTTGCTGGTGTTCTTCTTCTTCTTCTTCTTCTTCTTCTTCTTCTTCTTCTTCTTCTTCTTCTTCTTCTTCTTCTTCTTTACCTCTCCTCTGGTCTTTATCTCCTTGCAAGTGCTTTCATTTCTTTCGCAATTGGGTGGCATTGTCTTTAATTGTGAATTTGCACTTGGGAAATGACCAGGATCGTAACATCTTCTTCTGCAGGTACGCGTCTGTCAACGTTTGCAGAAAGCCAGATACGTTGTTGCCGAAGCCCGTGCTTGCTGAAACCACACCACCACAACCCCCCTGACCCCCAACCCCCAACCCCTGAAATACCCCCCCCCCAAAAAAAAATAACAAAACTTCTCTGTTCAAAGTTTTATAACCGGATTCGGGAGATCTTGGCGAGCGCAGTCCAACCACGTTTTCAAAAAAATAAAAATAAAAAAAATTGACCCACTTTTGGGCCCAACCGGCCCGGTCCGGTCCAACCGGCTGGTTGCCGACACAGCCCTAAGTTTAACATTAACTCAACAAATACGAGCTTGTTCTTTTTTTTGCTATCAGGGAAGCGTTTAATCCCTGGGCAGCTGTGCGTGTCGAAAGTCTGGACCTTCACTCACTTTATTCATGCCACACTTGCGCAGGGACAAACGAGGCCACGCAACGTCCCCACCATTTCAAGTCGAGGCGAATGGAAAAGGTCGCCGTGCTCCATGCAGAACAAAGTTCAGCATGGGTTGTCCGAAGGCCCTGTCATAGACGACGCAAATGAAAATGGAGGTTTTACTCATGCCACACTTGCACACGGATTAGTGAAGTGACACTACGACACTACTTGCCCACCCTTTAGAATGTGATGGATAATTTGAAGGACGAGCGGAGTAACTGTTGCTGTTGGATTCACTTCGCCCTGGTTTGTAACTTCTTACCCCAGTTCTTTCATTGACAATTGTGCCGATGCCTGTGACGTGGAGTGAATCGAAGCAGCTGCTGCGATTCTCAAAGAAAGATGCTGCAGGTCCACCACCATGGATTTGGCTGCCATTACCAATTCCGGGCGTTTTTCTGATTGAACTCGTCACCGTCGATATGTCATTCAACTTCCGCTTCCTGAGCACACGAGGTGATGATCTCGACTTGTGAATCTTCTCTCTATCCACTCGTTTATCACGGACGGGATCTGTTGCTTGGACACCGGTTGCTTGACGTCTGAGGCTGGAGAAATGGCTTTGATCACTGGAATCTTCCCTGCAATCTTCAGGCAGAACAAATGGCTTGAAGTCTGGGTCTGAGTCACTCAAGCTCTCACTGCTGGGATCTGAACCATAGCTGCCCACTGTTCTCAGAGGTGTACTCTCTGCACTTGCTTGGGTGCCTTTCAACACCCCATCACCACCAGCCTGGTCATCAACCACTCTGCGTCTCCACTGAAGTCTGTCTGCAGCTTTACCCTTCGCCGTCAGAGCCTTGATGCTAGCTTCTTGATCCCTGGTCCTGATCATTTCCATGTTGAGGCTTCGCTGCTTCATGCTGCTGAGCACTCTGACATCCTGATCTTCTTTCGAGCAGTCATCACCGAAAAAACCTTCGGCACAATGATGCCTCTCTTCCCTACCTATACCTCGATACTCTCTCTGATTGCCATTATCATCCACATTGAAAGTTTTATGTTGTTCATCTTCCTCCTCCTCCTCCTCCTCCTCCTCCTCCTCCTCCTCCTTTACCCCCTCCTTTTCCTTCTGTTGCTTCATTCTTTTTGTGATTCTACGTTCGATGCGACCATTGCCTCCTCTAATTTTTCTGTGGCATAAGGTCGCCCAATTCGCCTCATCATCATCATCATCACCATCATCATCATCGTCATCGTCCTGAGCAACACAAGCATTATCACTGCTATTGCTCTCGATAACGATACACTGGCGCGGATCGATGCTGGTTGACTGCTTCTTGGTGCGTGGTTGACGTGAGTCCATCCTGCAACCATCAGAGTCATGAGGATCAGATCCCAATGGCAAGGCTACTGCAGCTTGTTTTTCCTGTACTAGACTTGGACACCATGCAGCAAGGGCGATTGTGACGGTGACGCGTTCTGAACTAAGTGATGATGCATCATCCTCTCCACCCTTACCAGCTGCAATGACAGAGTCTGACACTCGGTCCCCTTGGCTTGGTTGACGACTCTTGGTGGCGTCTTCTTTTTCAGTTATTTTCTCTCGATTCTTCTCTCGATTTCTACCCATAGTTTCCGGCAGACCCATCTTCTCTGCGTTTTTCTTTCGGTCATGATCCTGAAGGCTAGGAAAAGTACGACTGCCCTCCAGGTATCCTTTTCTCATCTTTTGGACGTTTTTGAATCTATTTCCTGTCGCCCGGCTCCTTGATGCAGATGGACGGCGACAATTTCGGTTCACCGTGGACTTCCAGGTTGATGGGTCTGCCTTCACGGATCTCTTCTGGCACAATGTTACTTCCTGTGGGTGGTAAGGGAGAGGGCGATCAGAAAAAAGTGATCTTTTTGTCTGATTCCCGCAAGTTTCAGAGTTCTTGACCGGCAGAAGGTGGGCAGTGCCATCTCCCATTTGTTCCCCATTGCATGCATTGAAGTCATGAGGATATTTCACACCTTCATACCTGCGAGACTCTTCCCCCTGGGGAGGGTGTGAGCATGGAGGAGGAGGACATGTCTTGTTCTGTGAGTCAGAAGCTGCATCATGGGAATGACCACTGCAAAGCGACGCAGCAGAAGATCCATGGTTGAGTACGCCGATTACCGACTTCCCATGACCACCACAGACACCTGGCAGTGCACACTCTGAGTCGTCGAAAGTTTTTTTGGCTTTAGATCTCAGCTTCATCTCAGGCTTGTGACCTCCATATCCTCTCCTTGGAAGGTTAGGAAGGCCTACCCCTACCAATTGAACATCAGGATTCGAGCTTGGGTCCGAGTGGTAGCCGAATCTCTTAGGATCTTTGATTGATTGCTTAGTCAGCTGCGGAGGATGCCCATGTGGAAAAGGCGATGGCCAGATTTTGACACTCTCGAGTTGATCGGAGGCGCTTACATGCAAGTCGTCCAAGCGCTGAGTAGTTCTGGCTGTTCGTCTTTTCTTTCCTTGAAGATGCAGTTCAGCAACAGGGTGTGGTGATGGTCTGCCTGAGTCAACAACACTGTTCAATCTAGGCTCATGCAGCGGCTCATGGTAGCGATTGGATCTGGGTCCAGTCTTCCACCGAAGGTTGGCAGTTTCACCGCCAGAAAAGGATGAATGGTCGATAGAGGGGTCCATTTCATCCCCCCTCTCAACTGGACCCCTTGCACAAGAATCTGGGTGATATTCATTCAATACCGTTGTATGACGATCTGAATGATAATCACCTCCTGCGGGCTTCATGGATCCTGCGCGTCTTAAGCCACCATTTTGCTGTACGGTTGCCTCAGCCGATCCCAAGTAGGGTGGGCGAAAAGATCTCACAGTCTTTCTGGCAGACTTGCGGACATGGTGTTCGTCTCTCCAATGGTATGCTGTCCGGTCGCCATCAGAGTGCATGGGGACGAATCGACGGCGGCGGATCTTCGTTCTCGGCAAGGAAACAAACTGCTGCTCACACTCTTCCTCCTCCTCTTCTTCTTCATCCCGTGCATCAGCATCACATGCCCGCTCAACAATGTCATCGTCACACCCTGTGAATGGTCTCCCTTCATCCTCATCCCGTGGCTCATAATCCACATCCTTGTGGATGTCTCGCTGCCGCATCTTTTGCCCAGCTTCCGCATCCACTTCATGATCCTCCTCCTCTCCCTCATCCTGTGAAGCAATGTCATCCGTCCACTGGGCGTCACCCCTTTTCAACCATCTCTCATGACCCTGATCCCCTCCCTCAGACTCCTTGGGGATGACTCTGACTCGCCCCCACATCTTTGCCCTTGGTTTGTGGGCATCTCGTTGGCAATGCACCGCCTCCTCTTCATTCCATCCAACGGCGTCATCCGCCCACTGAGTCCCATCATCACGCCCTACGAACTGTCTCTCTTCACCCTCATAACATCTCTCAGACTCCCTGGACACCACTCGATGCCAAATCTTTCGCCTCAGTTTGATATCCACTTCATGATGCTCCTCCTCTTCTTCTTTATCCCATCCAACAACATCCTGTGTCCACTCATCACTATGCCCTTTGAACAGTCTCTCTTCACCATCATATCTTCCCTCCATTTGACAATCATTCCCTTTGCACCTGCGGCGATTAACCTCTGCTTGGGAACTGAGGGTGTCAATCAATCTCTTCCTCTGGCTGGTAATCCTGTCGGACTTCAGGGAGCGCTTACCGACTTGCACTGGTGCGTTCACTAACTTTTCTGCTCCAGTACGCCTTATGTTGGATTTGCAGGCACTGGTTGGGACATGGAGCCTATGCCAACCTTTGCTCCTAGTCGGCCTTCCTCCGCAGGGATCCCTGTTTGCTGTCGACGGACTCGGACAGTCGTCCTCTGTGAAACGTAATGTCGGCTGCTGCCGGTTTCGCAGGGAGGAGTACCGACATTCACGGGCACTTCTGCACCCCATCCCCGCTGATTGATGTTGGGAGGCTCTAAAACTTTTCCAGGGTTTCTTCTTTAAGCCACGCATCAGTGATGCATTCCCCTCTTCTGAAAGCTCATCCACCTTGTCGTCATCACTATCATCCTCACAAGGGTTATGTGCCAACGGCTTCTTGAGACCATCGTTGTAGCCATAATGGCTATCAAGGACATGGAGATGAGGCTTGGACACATCCGTCAACACCATTTTGACCGTTCCTGGACCTGAGAGGTGCCTCCTTTGTGCAGGAATCGACAGTTCTCTCTCCTTGTGAAGGTATCCTTTTTCCCCAGAAGTCGGTAAACAGTTGAAATCCTAGAAGCCGATCAACACAGGGAATGCCGACAAGTCAATGGGTGTTAGTTGTCTATGTATAATATTGTATATCACAATCTCCTCCTAGGTAAGAGGAGAGAGTCAAGAGACACTTATTCAGTGCGGAAAAAGATACAAGAAACATTACAACGACGGTTCCAGTGGTGGTTTTAATGGTGCCCTTACACATCCAGTGATGTTTTGATCCAGCTAGTTTGAGTGTCCTCTTCTTCTGCCTCCTTTTCTCCTCCTCCTCCCGTTCGTACCCTTTTCCTCCTCCTCCTCCTCCTCCTCCTCCTCATTTCCTCACCTTCTCCCCTGGCTCTTCTCCTCGTTTCTTCTTCTTCTTCTTCTTCTTCTTCTTCTTCTTCTTCTTCTTGTCCACCTCTTCCTCCCCTCGCCCTCCTCCTCACCGCCCTTCCTACTCCACACAATAGATGGAGCAACTGGAGGACGCTGCTACCTAGGAGGGGTTGCTCTTATCACCCCACCTAACAGTGGCCACCGGCTTTTCAGATGAAGAAGGGGAAAAAAAGGAATTCCCTTACATGGCCTCACTTAGCCTACTGCTTTACCTACCCTACTTCCGCCTGTGTCGAAGAGAGGGGCATAGGCTGTCTCAGTGCACTAGAGATAGGCCTCGGCAGGACAGCCAACCCAGCCGGCATGACCTATTCAGGAAAGCACCCTGGCATCAGGATCTGCCGCCATTCGTTGGATATAAATCTTATGGAAAGTATATTTCCAAAGAGCTTTTTTTCCCCCCCAATTGTGACAATATATATATATATATATATCGTCACAAACAGAACTGCCCGGTAAACCGTAGGCAGAGAGAGAGAAGAGGACAACAAACGAGGGGCTGTGACAAACTGTTTCGTCGGAGTTTCACCGACTCATCAGGAGGCTATATATATTATCACAAATATATATATATATAGTCAAACAGAGCTGCCTGGTAAACCGTAGGCAGAGAGGGAGGTTTTAGGGTTTAGGACCCTAAACCTTTAACCTTATATTTATATATATATATATATCGTCAAACAGAGCTGCCCGGTAAACCGTAGGCAGAGAGGGAGAAGAGGACAACAAACGAGGAGGCGGAGTCTTATGTGACTCAGGATGAGAGGGATGCGCTAGCCAGTGAGCTAGCAGCAATGAAGGACCCTATGGAACGACGAGAAAGGGAGGAGGAGCAGAAGTTGGCATGGAAATTGAGGATGAAGAGGGAGAAGAAGAGGAGGAGAGAGGAAGTCAACAAACTGACCGCAAAGGTGGCGAAGGTGCAGGAGTGTAGGAAAGAAGTGGAGGCCCAGGCAGATGACAAGGCCAAGTGGGATAAGGTATTGGGGTACCTAGAGGTGTTGAGCAAAGCCTGGATGGAGGAGCGCCTATGATGCATTGAGTAGAGAAGTGGTCCTGTATGAGTCGAAGTCCATGCCAGTTACCACCTTCTGGCATAAGGATTTGGATAAGGGAAAAAGGTGGAAAGGCCGTACCATCTCATGCCAGGTGAGGGCCAAGGATCACATGATCCTTACTTTAGAGGAAGGTGGTACTGACGAGGTCCCATATAGTCAGATTGAGTGGGGCCTAGAGGAAGAGGATAGTAGCGTGGGACAGGGGAGGTCCTATGCTGCTGTCGCGGCTGGAGGGAGGCCGCAAGGTAGAGGAGGAGGCCAAGGCCAAAGGGGCCAGGCCATGGGAGGCCGAGGACCGGGCGCACAGGGGGTTGGCGGACAAGGGAACCGCCAAGTGGGAGGTAGGGGTCAAGGTCCCCCGCCAAATCGCCAGGGTTCTAATCGGTCCCCACAGCGACGAGGTGGACGGGCACCTCAAGGAGGATGGCACCCAGGCTTGCCACAGGGCAGGCCCTGGGAAGATTTGGGCTTGGACCAGGGCGTATGGCAAGAACGCGTGAACTTGGGTCAGTGCGTGTTTTGTGGTGACCCGGCCCACGTAATTAAATTTTGTCCAAAGTATAGACAGGCCCGTTGGGCTGCCCAACAGTCAAAAGGCAGCCACCAGTAGGGGTTGCAACTGCCTCTACTTTAAGGCCATATGGAGAAGTGAGCGTGCGCGAACAAGACACTCCCAACCCACATGAGCCTATGGCAGAGGTTGCAGGCCCGTACCTAACTAGCTGTCCAAAGACCACCTGTGTTAGCGTCTCTTTAGGCACATCCCTCACAGGTGTGGCAGAAGAGCTAAAGTAGAGGATGCCAGCCTGGGCCAAGATGAAGAAAGAAAGCAAAGGACAACCGATCTTGGCAGATGTCGAAGTTTTTAGGAGTAGAGTAGGGGTCTTTATAGACTTAGGGGCCACCCGCAGTTATATTAGCCGTAGAGCGCTGAAAAAGTTGAGGCTAGGATTAAAAGTCCAGAAATTGGCAGACCCCATAGTCAGTGTCCTGACAGACAACCGCACAATGCGTGTTGAGGACTATGTAGAGGGAGTCCAGGCGTACTTTCGCCTAGAGAAGGATGGGAAGGTGGAGAAAGTTCTCCATTCCCTGACTCTCCTTGTACAGGATGACCTTCCTTTCGATATAGTATTGGGAATGGATTGGGGAGAGGCAGCAGGGGCCACACTCCATTTGAGAGAGCATGAGTGTAGGCTCCCTAGCTCGTCAGGCGAGGTTAAGACTGCCCGCTTGTTTCATGTGTCAGGTGTAGACAACACCTTGGCACATTGCTGTCTCAGTGCTCCTGCGTTCGTGCGACTAGTGAAAAAGGAGCAGTTAGAGGACCAGGTCTTTGTAATTTATGTTAGACCTGTCACTGAGGCCAAGGGAAAGGATAGATCCACAGATCCAACGATTGCTAAGCTGCTGAAAGAGTTCAAAGATTTGACTGAGTCGCCGACAGGAGTAGTGTCGCGACCCATCCAGCACAGGATAGAGATAGAGTCTGGCAGTAGAACTCCTAAGGGTGCAGTTTACAGGATGTCCCCTAGAGAGTTGCAGAAGCTTCGCAAGCAGTTAGACGAGCTCCTTGAGAAAGGTTGGATCAGGCCCAGTTCGTCTCCTTTTGGAGCACCAGTTCTGTTTGTCCCAGAGAAGGAAGGAGAGTTTTGTATGTGTATAGACTATAGGGGTTTAAATGTGATTATTGTGAAGAATGTCGAGCCGCTGCCCAGGATAGACGATCTCCTAGATCGGGTGCAGGGTTGCAAGTTCTTCTCTAAGATAGACTTGAAATCCGGATACCATCAGATAGAAGTCCATCCTGATGATCAGTACAAGACTGCATTCCGGACTAGATATGGGCACTATTGAGTTTATAGTGATGCCCTTTGAACTAACCAACGCGCCAGCCACCTTTCAGCGTTGTATGAATGACCTGTTTAGACCATGGTTAGACAAATTTGTGGTAGTCTACTTATATGATATCTTAGTTTTTAGTAAGACCCTCCAAGAGCACCAGGGTCATCTGAGGCAGGTCTTGGAGAAGCTTAGAGAGGCTAACTTCAAGATCAACGCGAAGAAGTGTGAGTGGGCCAAGACACAAGTTTTGTACTTGGGCCACATATTGGACGGAGATGGCATTAAGCAAGAGGACAGCAAGATAGCGGCAATTAGAGATTGGCCGACGCCCCGCACACTGACAGAGTTGCGGTCGTTCCTAGGCCTAGCTAACTACTATAGAAAGTTCGTACGAAACTTTTCTACTATCGCCGCTCCCCTGCGCAAGTTGCTTAAGAAAGAGGCAATCTGGCAATGGGATAGAAACTGTACGTCTGCGCTAAAGAGATTAAAGCGCGCGTTAATAGAAAGTAGCTGATCCGTCGCTACCATTTGTCGTCACCACGGACGCGAGTCAGTATGGTATAGGTGTCGTGTTGCAGCAAGATGACGACAATGGTTATAGACCCGTAGAGTTCATGTTAGCGAGGATGCCCTCAAAGAAGGTAGCCACCTCGACGTATGAGAGAGAACTTTACGCTTTCAGGTAGGCTTTATAGCACTGGAAGCATTACCTGCTTTGGAGGCACTTCAAAGTGTATTTTGATCATGAAACACTTAGATAGTTAAAGACTCAGGCCAAGATGACACCTAAGTTAACTAGGTGGGCCGCAGAGATAGACCAATATGACTTTGAGCTTAAGCCAGTGAAGGGCAAGTACAACGTAGTTGCGGATGCTCTGAGTAGGAGATCAGACTACTTTGGAGCCATAGTACACTATCTGGATATAGGGAGAGACCTGCAGGAGAAAGTGAAGCAAGCGTATGCGCAGGACCCCATCTATAGCGACCTCCTAAAGAGAGTTAGAGAGGCCCCAGAGACTGAGCCAGATTACCGCACTACTGAGGGATTACTATTTGAGAAGACTAATGTGTTTGACCGCTTGTGCGTTCCCAACAACGAAGAGATCCGTAATTTGATTTTAGGGGAATGCCACGATACTGAGGGACACTTCGGTTGGCAAAAGACTCTAGCCAATCTAATGCATGCGTATACCTGGCCGGGAATGAAGAATGACTGCATAGAGTATGTCCGCAGTTGCAAAGTTTGCCAGAGGAATAAGACTACTACGCGTGCCCCTCTAGGTCTTCTCAGACCCTTGCCTATTCCGGATCAGCCGGAGACTCAATGTCCATAGACTTCATGGACACCCAAGTCAAGAGCAGACATGGTAAGAGCCAAGCCATGGTCATAGTTGACCGATTTAGTAAGTATGTAGTTTTTGTTCCCTTGCCTGCAGAGGCACGTACAAACTTAGTTATACGAAAGTTCTTTGATTTTTGGGTTAGTGAGAATGGAATCCCGTTGTCGATAGTTAGCGATAGAGATAGTCGTTTCACCAGCCATAATTGGCAAGAACTCATGAGAGTCTACGGATCTAAGCTGTTGATGTTGTCTGGCCGCCATCCAGAGACAAACGGTTAGACTGAACAGATGAACAAGATCCTACAGCAAGTTCTGCGCATGTACATTAGACCCGATCAGATTGACTAGGATGAGATGTTACCCAAGGT